ACTGACTATGGATACCTAATAGAATAACCTAAGCTTCTATAGTGAACTATCGAGGAGATGTGCGATTTAAGTTAGCTAACCTATCTAGTCCTAGTCTTTAGCACTGACTATGGATACCTAATAGTATAACCTAAGCTTCTATAGTGAACAATCGAGGAGATGTGCGATTTAAGTTAGCTAACCTATATTTCATAGTTCATCTACCTAGTGGTGGTTTTCATTATTTAAGTTGATGAATTTTAGATTTTTATGGGTTTAATATTTAATTTATGATTTGGTTTAACTCCTAATTTGCCGTTCAACATGATAAATCAAGATAGTTGATATTCAAAATTTTGCATTTTTTCTAGTTTTCTATCTTAAGCTGGTGCTCTCCATTGAGTTTTACCCTAATGTTAGTTTACAATTCTATGCTGAAGTTCACAAAAAAATATTATGTGTTGATATTCAAATCTTTTATATTTTCATATTTGATTCTTAATTTTATTCCATTGTTCTAATATTTATTTTTGAACTTTACTTTCACATACAAAAATATAATTTTAATAAAAAGTGTTTATAATTAAAAAAAATATTTGAAGTGTTAAATATGTGCATGAGTTAAGTGTTAGATATAAAAGCATAATTTTCTTTAAAGGTTTGGATGTTCATGTGTTTGACATACAACTTGCAAGTTCTTGGATAGGAATTTTCAAACATGTAACTTTGGTGTGGGTTTCATATTTATAAATTCCATATCTTTGGTTTTGAAAACTTAAATTTACTTTTGATAGAAAAAATCCATAAATTTTCTTGGTAATTAAATTTAAATGAAACATTTTGGAAGGGCAGGTCCAAAAATGATGAAATTCTCTAAGAAAAATAAATTTGGCGTCTTTTGAAAACATTTTAGGTTGCATACATAATTTTTAAAATATTTAATTATTTAGAACACATCTTGTTAAACATTACTTTATTTTAAGAATGAGTTGAACTGATTTTGAAAGTATAATATACTTTAAATTTTCAAGAAAAAAACATATTTTAACATTTTAGAGCATTGTTTGTTGAGGTTTATTTGATTTCAAATGAGACAATTAATTTTCATATAAATCATACTTTAACATTAAAGCACATTTTTTAAAGTTTTATTTCAAATGAGACTTGAATTGGTTTTAAAAATATACTTAATTTTCATAAAAAATATACCTTAACATTTTAGAGCACATTTTGTTAAGGTTTATTTAATTTTAAAAGAGGGTTGAATGAGTTTTGAAAATATACTTAATTTTTTTCTAAAAGGACATAATTTAATATTTTAGAGCTTATTATGTTAAGGTTTATTTAATTTTAAAAAATAGTTGAATGGATTTTGAAAATATGCTTAATTTTCATAAAAATGCATACTTTAACATTTTATAGTACATTTTATTATGGTCTTTTATTTTCAAGTAAATTATACATTAAAGTAACTTTTTTAAGTAACTATAGAAATTGAGGATTCAAAGCATATTAATATGATTTATACATTAGAGCTCATTTAGCTGAAAAGTTTTTCAAAAAGTTAGGTAGGTTTGAAATTAAATTACATTTAATTTATATGCTTTTATATATAAATTTAAAGTTTTATCACACATTTAGTTTATGTTGTTCTTTTTAAAGTTTATTTTTATTTTCTTTTAAGTTCCAGGTAATTTTGTATAAGTATAATATAAAATGTAAATTACCATAACCTAAACAAGCAAATCTTGCAAGTAACATTTAGTTTATGTTTCTCTTTTTAAAGGTTATTTTTATTTTCTTTAAGTTCCAGGTAATTTTGTATAAGTACAATATAAAATGCAAATTACCATAACCTAAACAAGCAAATCTTGCAAGTGATCATGTCATATGCACCTGAACTCGTAAGAATTACACATACACAATTTTATATAAGCACATAAAGCGTAACTTATATGCTTCATGAAACATAAAGCCCAACTTGCATATTTTTGCATAAAACATCAAACCCAACTTGCATAATTTTGCATGAAACATAAAAGCCAACTTGCATGGTTTTGAATAAAACATATTGCCCAACTTGCATGGTTTTCATGAAACAAAATCCCAACTTACATGATTTTCATGAAACATAAGCACAACTTGCATGGTTTTCATAAAATATAAACATAGCTTACATGAATTTTAAAGCAACTATATACATAAAAACTTCACATGAGACTTATGTAAGCTAAACATGGGTCCTATGCATGAATTCTAATCACGAGTGGTGCACAAATATTACATATAATTCAAATACCCTATGCATGACTTGCAAACTTGAATTACATATGGACATGAATCCTGAACACATGGATATACATGTAAACATTAAACATAAGATTTTTTTTTCTTCTTTACTTTTTCTATAAATCACATAAATTTGGGCATACGTAAGCCATCACACAAACATGCAGATTATTCTAGGCACGGGGATGACTTGTATAGAATACATATAAACATCATGTAAAACCTAGAAAACCTAAACATTGATGTTTGTTCATATAGAACATGTATAAACATTATGGGAAACATAAAAGCCCTCTTTTTTCACTTGAGGAGGGGAAAGAAGAAGTAGAATTCATGTGTTATTATGGATGGAAGACTTGGTGATGACTTTCGACCTTTTGTAGTTGTCAATCATCATCAATCAGATGACTCATATAGACCCCGTGATCATATGAGATTTTTTTTAAGGATTTGAAAGCACTAATGGCTCAAAATTAAGAGCTCTTAGTCTTGTTATATTTTTCTCGTCAAGGTACTTAATTTGACTATAAGTGTGCCAAATTTAGGATTCATTTGATCATTCAATTAAAGACTTTAATTCTCCAATTGTGCTTCAATGGTTTGATCTTTATTTGACTGAACTTAGATAGAATTAATTTCGTATTGTATGCGCCAAAACTACCATCATGAATCTCAAAGCAATCAAACAATCAAGAATGATGGCCAGACAATCAAAGTGTCGAGCTGAAAAAGTATGATCTGAACCAGCCATTCGATGACAGACCGGTCGATCAAGTCTACCAACATGTAATGTTGGTGGATCCAATCGGCGAACCACACTCATGATCCCAACTACCTAAACTCCTTACAAGTACGTCCAGTCACAACTAGTCGACCGACTATTTTTTCTTCGTCAGTAGCGATTGTCAAGTAACCCGTCGCCTTGGACAACTGAACTCAAACATGTTGTCCAACTGATAGCCATTATATACAATTAAATTGTAACGCAAATTTGATATTAAATTATCACACTAATTACATTAATGACAAGTTCCATAATTGTTCCTCCTTTTTGTAAATGTACTAATATGTCCCTATAAATCCGGGGCCAGAAGATAAATAAAGGGACTATTCTCTCTCAATTCTCTACCTAGATTTCTCTAATTACTTTACTCTCTCTCTATCTCTCTCTCATCTTCTTTCGGCACCAACTTTCAAGACATGTATTTCTGAAAGACAATTTAGGATCCAATATGTTGTATCGGGTTCATCTCGTTGAGACGATTAATTTATCAAAAAACTTACTAAAACCGACGTATATCGTTGAATGACCAATCTAACTAGTGATGTGACATTTATATGGGATATTTTCTTAGCACAATATTTTATATATCACACCCAAAATTTCATATTTACCCATACATTGCTCAAATCTTTAATATCACATAAAAAATAACACGATTATTATTGTTTAAAAGCGAAGTAAATTTTTTGTATGCAAGGCATATGTTAAAAGCATCAAAGTGCTATGTATGTAAAGTTTAGATTTAAGATTTGTAAATACAAAAGAATTGTGTGCTTTGAATGTAAATATTCTTTCTGTATACTTATTTTTCCTTTAAATAGTTGATGTCAAAGCCAAGTTTGTTAAAACCAGACGCTAGAGATAACTGAATTTTGAATCATCTGAATTTAACCGGTGAAAACCGGGGTCAAACCCTTCAACCACTGAGCTGCCTGCGCTTTTTAATAATCATATTTTTTTTAAGACTTCATTGCATTCTTTTTCATAAATGATTTTGTGGAAAAAAATAATAATAAAGCTATTTTATATTTTTATTTAAAATTGTATTATTTTGCATTGTTATTTTTTTGCATAAAGCTAATATTTACTTTAATTTATTTGATTTATTACACAAAAGAATATGACTAATTTGTACACATAAAGTTGTGTGATGATGAAAGTAGACGGTGCTTTAGAGGAATGTAATGTTTTATTTTATCTTCCTACGTGGATTGTGATATTTGATATTATAAGAGGAATATAGAGAAGAGGTTGTGGTTGACTTTGCTAAGTCTTAATTAATCTTATTTATTTCATCTACATTTTGCTTTTAGATTGTCAAATCTTAAAGGAATGAAATACCAAATACAAAATTTCAAAAAAAATCTATATGTTTTATCGCTACAAATATGGAAATACGGTGACCGCACGCAGAGTTGTGTGCTGTCACCCAACAAAAAGTAACACCTCCCTTAAAAGCGGCATGAAAGTGGGCCGCACTTTAAAATTTATAAATTTTTTAAAAATGATGTTTATTACGTGGCGTAAAATTATTGGGGGCGTAGGTGGGAATTCCGTACGGAATAAGAGCTCACAAATATGAGGGCCGCAAGCAGAGTTGTGTGCTGTCACCCAACAAAAAGCAACACCTCCCTTAAAAGCGGCATGAAAGTGGGCCCCACTTTAAAATTTATAAATGTTTAAAAATGATGTTTATTACTTGGCGTAAAATTATTGGGGGCGTAGGTGCGAATTCCGTACGGAATAAGAGCTCACAAATATGAGGTAGTTATTTAAATATTAAATATTTTTATATTTAAATCTATTGGTTTTTATGTGTGTTCTATGTTTTATAATACGATTTTAATCACCTTTTAATTAGTATTTGCCTCTAATATATCATTATTATATTATTTATATCATTTTTAATTAAACCGACCCTGAACTTTGATTTTTCATTCTTCAAATCTTCGGCCCGAAGAATGGAATAATATAAGGTCCGACAACGCTCTCATAAATCGCTCCTATTTCACCCCCATCTCGCATTTTCAGTCTCGCATGGCCGATGGCTACTCCATGAATAGAAGAGTTGTCGCTCCACGGCTTCATTTTGTTGATCCTAGAACCCTAGTCGCATCTTATCCGCCCCTGCCGCCCGTCGGATTTGTCGTTACCGCGCCGGTCGCGGGCTTCCAGAGGCCGTTCTTCCCTCGGAGATTTTTTGCTCCTCGCGTGGTTTTGAATCCTGCTTTTCTGATTCAAATGGAAGACGGGCGTGATCAGTCTTTGCTTCAGGCGAGCTCGCGGAGTTTTTTTTTTTTAATGGCTTATGCGCTGTGATGCGCGGCTTTTAGCGTTTCTTTGGATTCTCTCTCTAAGCTGTTTTTAGCCTTGCAGTTTATGGCGAGCGAAGGCCTGGTGCCGTCTCCGGAAGCGGAGGTGAAGAGGAAGGAAGTTGTTGAGGAGCTTAAAGAGGTACTAGTTCTTGGTTGTATGAACTGACTTTACCCCTTTTTTATGATTTTGATCATATTTGGAAAAATGCTTGACCTTTTTCATTGCAACGTTATTTTGTTGGCAAATAGCATCTTTTCGGTTTGATAACATTGAGTTAAATAATGATTTTTATTATTCTGCTGAAACATTCACTAGTGAGTTTATTGTCTTTGCCCCATACGACAATTTTGTATATACTAATAAATAAGTTGAGAGAAGCTTCTGGACGATATTAAGTTTATTAGATAAACAATTTGGGAGAGGGACAACCATAGGGTTTGGCCGAAGTGATAAGATTGGTTTGGGGTAAGCATTATATTACAAATGATGACTTTTCCCTTTCATAAATAAGATATTGAATCCATTTGATTGATATTTACCATGGAAAATAACTTCTATTGATCCTAGAGGTGCAAAATTATCAAATTATTCTTTGTTTTTTCAATTGTTTTCTTTATAGAAGAGAAACCAACAACCATAAAGGTAGGCATCGACCTTAGTAGAGATGACTGACATCAGCAATGATAGTGATTCCAGAATAGCTGGCCAATGGTGGGTGTCAACGATAGTATTGACGGCAGGTGTTGGCATTAATATGGATGACATATGTCAGAGTTGGTGTTAATAATGGACGTTAGCATTGTTGTCAATAGCGAACATTGTTGGTGTTGATGATAACCATTGGCATTGATGTTGACGACAGATGTCCGACTTATTGGTGACAACGAAAGGAAATGCTATTTGTAAAGATTAATGTCAACTGTAGTCGTGATAATAAGTATTGTCTTGGTAGTGATGATCGATGTTGTCATTGGCATTACCAATGGTTATTAGCATCAACGATAAGTATCGATGTTGGCATCAATGTCGAGCTTTAGCATTGACATTAACGACACATGTTATTCTTGATAGCAATTACGGGCTTCATGGAAATGATAGGCGTTAACTTTTATGGTGATGGTTGGTGCCAATTTTTGTGGCGAAATTAGACGTCAATTGCTATCGGATAAATATCACTTGGTGCAACCGTTTCTTAGACATTAATTTTAAAATATATATTATTGGGTATTGAATTAGATAATTATTATTTTTATTACAATAGCAATTTAGTGAAGTAAACATGCTTTTTTCGGGGGAAAAAATGATCAAAATATTGTTTCCAAGCTCTCAAAAATTATCCAAAGCCACTTCCATAGTTTTTCACAAGCTTTGAAAGTGTAAAAATTAAGTTTAGGACATGTATAAATTGTTTTGGGGATTTCAAATTGTCTTAAAAGGCCTATATGAGCATAAAAATGGACTTTGTAACGAGCAACAAAACTTGATTTATTGATCGATTGATGGTGGTGAATGTAAACAACTTACATATGTTATCGCAGGGCTTGTTTACATGGTGTGCTTGTTACTTTTTAGAATTCTTTCTTCGAAAAAAAAATACATTGAATCTTTTGCTTAAAAAGAAAAAGAAAAAAAAAAACTCAAACAATTTCCAAAAACTTGTTAATATTCTCTCTCTCCCCTCTAAGTCCTATAAAACACGTATACAAAGCGTACGAGAGTTCAAAATTTTTCACCTTAAGTTTTGATTTTATTTGAAAAAAGGTTAAAAACTGTTCAACTTGAGGCATAATTTGAAACGTTAATTTATGTTCAAAATTTTTTAAAAAGCATTCAAACTGAGTGTTCAATCTTTTATTTTGAATAGGTTGACTATTTTATTTAGAAAAAAACTAAATTGGAAGTTTTATTTGAGGCTAGGCTTCACTCTTCCGTGAGAATAGGGCCAGTTGCTCTAGTTTGATGAGATCTTAGGAGAAGATTGTTTAAGGTTCGAAATTTATGTGTCATTCAAGATTATTTAGTTTTGTGATTTTAAGCCTTTATAATGAGTCTTTAATAAGGACCTTGTCGAACATTTTGTGTCATTCAAGTTTATTGGGTACACATTTTCTCTGAGTATTTTAAAGCTTATGTATTCAATGGTTTTTAGATGAGAATAACTCATGTATTATCTAAGGTATATGCCTTTTTGAGGTGCATTAGATGAGATCCTGTCTGTCACATTCTTATGTGAATTTTTTGATGAGGATCATGTCCAACAATAGCTATCTTTTGCCTTCATTACTAGCATGCCTTTCATAGATTTTGTTTGGAGGACTTGTTTACCATTTTCTTTCTTGTGGATTTTTTGATGATGACCATGTCCAGCACCAGATACCTTTAGAGCATTTTTATTGTCATATCTTTATATGCATGCTTTTTTAGTTTATCCAAGCGTGTTGCACTATCAACTATTGTTTATGTCTCCATGATTAGGGTTGTGAGAAATTTTGTAGTTCTTTTCTAGGTTGTTAGCTTGGTTGTTACTTTTTTTTAACTTAACCTGCAAATGGAGTGGCCAAAAGAAATACACTAAGGATCATTGACCTATGATAGTTTAGTAGTTAGAGTACTGATTGATGATTTTAATTTTTAACCTATGATAGAAGAAGTTGAATTAAGTTCCTCTTAAGTTCAATTGGATATTTATTGGAATACAATAATTGTTGAATGCTTCTCTAATCAAAGATAAATATAGTTTGTCTAAAGACTATTATTGCCCTTTCAAAGTCATGATTTTGACTTTTCTTAGGGTGTAGAAATGCTTTATGAGACTATGTGGAGTCAAATTTTGTTATAAAGTTTCTTATATGTGTCAAAATCCATAGAAAATAGATTCTTGTGGGCTTTCCTTAGATACATAGAAAGATGATAGAAATGACTTATTTAATTGCAATCATTTCTTAGACATTAACATGATCATTCTTTCAACGTTATAGTTAGTTTTGACCTAGTTTTTGTCTTTTTTAATATAATCCAATCTATCAACAAATGATAAAGGGTTGGCTTGCTACAATTATGCCAAAGAAATTGTCGTCAACATCCTTTTGATGTTTACTTAAGATACCCTCTTAATCATGATATGATTACTGTAGAGTTGATGGCAGTGATTGCTTGAATATAACTGTGCATGGGATTTTAACACAAATGTTCTTTCAAAGCTATAGGCAAAGGTATCCTTAATTTAAGATTCTTTTCGACCAACAACATCAAACTATGCTGGAACATTCACGATAATAGAGGGAATGTGAACGATAATAGAGGGAATGTGATGAGTTTCATGTTTTAGCTTTATACAAAAAGTTCTGCACACATGTAAATAAATAAGGTCAGAGTATCTTCATGGGATATATGAAGTCTTTTAGAAAAAAAACATTAGGCTTGATACAATTAAAATAATCTTACCGTGAGTTCTCAATCATAAAGAATTCTCTTCCTCGCAATTGAAGAAGACATTTATATAATGTAGTAGGTATGAATGTTGTTGTTGTTATAGTATTATGATTTATTCACAACCCAAATCAGCCGTCACATTGATGATAAGTGAGTGAATGGTCAAGAGAAATAACAAGAATAATAAAGGTCATACTAAAACCTGCATTGCAAGTTCCCAAGCCCCGGATGCAAAAGGTGGAGGGTTGCGTTAGGGAGTCGACAACCAGCATAAAAATTGTGCAAACATCATGACATGAATCCTTAATAAAAGCCATACTAACAATGATCATTCTAACGTACATTTCATTTTTTAGTGTAAATTGGACTGAAATATACATAATCTGATAAATAGCACCGTTATCTTAGATTTTATTACTAATTATACTATTGAATCAAACAGAAAATCTTAAGACGAGCTTACGTTTTGATGTGATAGTCTGAGATAAAAGAAGTAAGCATAGTAATAGATGTCTGCACTAAATGTTGAGATGTATTTAGAAATGCTGAACCTCTAAAGTGAAACATTTTGTATTTTACAGAATTGGAATTCAGCAAATATAAATCTGACATTATTGTTAAGGAATCCAGTTGATTTGGGTGATTTGTTTATTGAATATTGCATGCTTGCTATATGAGTTTTGGTTTCAAACCATGGTTCTAGCTGTAGGATTCTTTTTCAATGAAATGGTTCATCTGTTCTGTGTCACGATCTCCTAGTAGGCCACTAGTTGCAGCATCTTTGATGTTTTTTTTCTGCAGAAATTTTGTTAGTCTGCAGAAACTTTCATTATTCTATCAACTCAATGGTAGTTGAACAGTTTAGGACTTTGTGGAGGTTTTGTAATTTGTCCATAATTGCACGAATTTATTTAGACCGCTATTATTTGACTTGTGGAGATCACAGGTAAATACTACTTTTTGAAGCTTTATATTCATATGTTTTTTAATTAATCTTTACGATGAATTCTCTCAAATGGCAGTAGAGCAAAACATCTATGCTTGATAATAAAAAAATTTCCTACCGTTTATTAAGTGAAGCTGGTTTTTCTGTTGGTAGATTAGAATCTCTAGTTTGAATTAAATTTTGCTGTTAACTCTGACGGGCTATCTTCTTTTAGCTCCACTTTAAGATGGAATGATTCGCTAACCATCCAGCTTGTAAAATCACTTACAAAATGTTTTTATTCATTGATGCATTGAATTATATTTATTTAAAAGTTCTTTTATTATTATTTATTATTTTCTTAAGAGATGTTTCTCTTTTTAGCTCATGAGCTTATAGGCTTTGAAGCCCTAATAATTGTAGACGGTTGTACCGTTATTGTTTGTCAAACACTTCGGCGTGGCTTTGTATGGCATTTTGCTTGCCTTTTATGTGCTTATTAAATAAAATGCCTAATTCCTTTGGTACTCAGATCGAACTTTGGCATATTTTGAGCACTACTTTACGACACTGTCGTAGTCCAACATATAAGATCCCAGTTTCCGACATCAGTATTTAATAAGGAATCTAAATCCATATTTCACTAGAAATAGAAAGTAATACAACTCGTTTAAGCTGCTGTTTTTTTCCTATTGTTTGGAAAATTAAAGAAAATATAAAAAATGCTTCTTGCCAATGCTATGAAAATTATCCTTTGTTTCTATTTGATACAAATCTAATAGACATTTATAATTTTTTATTTATCAAATGTGCTATATTTAAAATGTAATTTGAGATTTGTAGTTTCAAGTACTGACACATTATTTTAATAGGAAATTTTGGTAGAAAGTTGTCTTGTATTTTCTTATAATATTTCTCTTGATACTAATCATGCATGCATTCTATCGAGCTTCCAATCATATTTTACTTTATGTGAAATTATATTTATTTTGGCTCCCTTATCGGCCCATTTCATTGCACATAGATATAAAGATTTTGTTTTCACACCTAACTGAAAATGAAATTGTTTCCTAAAATATTTTTATCAGCAAGGGACCAAATGAGCCTTCTCATTTATTCTTGTATTTGATATTTCATTTAATTTTTCATTTCTATTTTTAGTTTTCTTATTTGTATTTTTTTCTTTCAGATAGTTTTGTCTTGGATAAGAAAAGTTGCCTGGCAGCGCCGCCTTCCCAAGGATATAATTGATAAGACAAATGCCACTATTTTGGCGTATGGCTCATATGGTCTCGGAGTAAGGCATTTTGATTCACTTATAGTTGTGTTTTATTAATTTTTAATTTCTTATTTTGCTTATGACTCATGGGCTCTAAGAGAACAATAATTTAGTCATCAATTATTTATAGCCTTATTTCCTTGGTATTAAATGCAAATATTTTAACATGCCTATAAACGCTAATCTATATTCTCTAGAACTTATCTGAATAAGCATGTTGATAATGTCTGCTGTATGCGTTGTCTGAACTTGAAAAAAGTTTGTCATTGATACAAATAGTGACGAATGAAAACGTTGCTTATGATTTTCTTTTAGTTGGGGTTTTATTAGCTTCTTTTTTCTTGGTTAATTTTTTACTTTCCAAGACAGTGTTTAATTGAGACCACTTCCTGTGCAATATTTACATTGATGAAACATTTAGAAACGTTTGCTAAATTTCTTTAAAACTATAAGGAAGACGGTTCAAACTACTCACTTAGCAATTCTCTTAGGGTTGTTTGGTTTGGTGCATTTAGAATATACTAAAGTAAACGCGCAGTTTAAGTGCAGTTAATTTAGCTGAATTTACTTAAAAATTGTGAAGGAAATGAGCTATGAAGTAGCTTGACTTTACTAAAAATAAAACATCCAAAAAACTACTTCAAATGCAAATAATTTATTTTTTTATTAACTTCTTACTAAACAAAATCATGCCCTTAGTTAAACATGTATAATTTGTCTGCTAGTGAGTGACCTTGAATGCCTATCATGCAGCTGAAATGATGATATTTGGTCTTTCAACATTGGATCCGATCATATGTACCAAGGAAAGCAAAAAACCATAATTTGCATGCTTTTGATTTACAAATAAAAGTAATGAAGAGGGTATCCTCTGTTTTTTAATGTTTATTTAGAGTGTATGGATTAAGGATTTCTTTTTCTTTGGGTGTGAGCAAAAATTTTTTTTCTAAGGCATCATTTACTTGTGAGAGGCATTGCAATCATATTAGTTGCATTATCATGGTTACTATTTGTAAAGACCGCTCCAAAATTTATTTTTTATTCTTTCAAGTGTTTGGCTTTTCATTTATTATTCAAAGTTTCTCAGTAATGTTTCCATCATTGATTCAGGTCCATGGTCCAGAATCTGACATTGATGCTTTGTGCGTTGGTCCATATTTTGCTTCCATGGAAGTGAGTTTTTATTTGCTTCTTGCTTCAGTTATTTGGATACGTTGAAGTACTCAATCCTTGCCTGTTTTACTTCTCAGGATGATTTCTTTATTGTTTTGCATGGAATGCTTCAAAGCATGCCTGAAATATCAGAACTACATTGCGTCAAGACTGCAAAAGTTCCTTTAATGAGATTTAAATTCCGTGGCTTTTCTATTGATTTTCCTTATGCTCAACTACGAGTTGTATCTGTTCCAGCTGTAAGTATGTTTGCTGAAAGGGTATCAATCTTTAAATTTAGTTCGCGCCTTTTTATCGTAGTAATTTTATTCTACTGATTATTTCTTGCTTTACCATCTATATTACACTTGTTTGCCATCAGAATAAATTATTTATTATTTCCATCATGAATCAATTACTTTTTGGTGCCTATAAATTGCATACACTATTTTTTTTTTTACTATGTGACCTTATGTTGACTGGATTTATTATCTCAAGCATTTTTGAATCAACTTAATACTAAATTTGTTTATTTTGAATTGTTAAAATCTCATTTTGCATTAATGTGTAATGGATTATGAATGATTACTCTGGCTAAAAGTAAAGTAAGCTATTATTTCTGTCGGTAGTTGTTGAAATTTCTTGAAATAGTCTCATTCTTGTTAATGTAATTTTTCATGCGTTTAATGCATCTAGATTATAAGCAACTATGAGAAGGGCGTTAATTTGATCTTGACTTAAAATTAGCTTAAAATCATTCAATTGGATCTCAAGCTGGCCAACATTTGATTTATATGTTGGCACTATCCGATATCAAATGTCAAATGTGTGTGTGTAATGTATATATATACACACGTGTGTGTGTCTATATATATATATATATATATATATTTTGTTTATATTTGTTTGAGCTCCCCCACCATCCATATCTATCTATCTATATATATAGATAGATAGATAGGGATGGTGGGGGAGCTCGTTTTTACAAAAAAATATATATATATTCCTAACAAATTTCTATCTAACAAAAAAGAAACCAAAAAAGATTATTTGTGGAGGAGATTTTGAGGACTAGGATAAGAAGTTGTAGCAATATTGTTGTAATGTTCGTTTGTTAGAGTAATTAGGGATGGAGACGAGAAGGTTGAGTTTATTTTCTCTTACAGTTCATTTTTCTTGCCTTAAATTGTCTTTTGCGTTTCTTTCCTTGCTATTCTATTTGTTATATCGACCTCGCATTTGAATGTGAGCCGAACCCATAAGCTCTGAGTTGCTAGTTGCCTTAAGTTTGTGCTTTGTTGCTATAACGTTTAATTGTGGAGGAGATTTTGAGGGCTAGGATAAGAAGTTGGAGCAATATTGTTGTAATGTTTGTTTGTTAAGGAGTAATTAGGGTTGTAGACGAGAAGGTTGAGTTTATTTTCTCATGCAGTTCATTTTTCTTTTCTTAAGTTGTCTATTGCAATTCTTTCCTTTATATTCTATTTGTTAAATCGACTTCACATCTGAATGTGAGCCGAACCCATAAGCCTTGAGCTGCTAGCATGAAGACAAACCATGAAGAATTGTGCTAGCGCTTTTCCACTTAGGCCACGCATAGGGTGTGATCTGCCTTCCCTGGCTTGTGACACTTCATCATAAAGCTTTGCCTTTGAAACATGTTTCATTGTGCACTTTTATTATTAATGATTTTGGCGTATGCAAAAGGAGTGCATATTGTTGGGGTATAAAGGTGAGCCTCACACAAACTTTAATGGCTTACAGAAAACCATCCAAATGGCACAAGCTTCAGAAATCAACTAGGATGGTTGAGATCCAATACAACTATCAACCTTCTCACGACCTGCTAAATTGTGCCATAACCGGGTGAGTAGTTCACCATGTCGCTAATGGTCTGTGTCTAAGGTGAATGCTAGGCATGCATCAACCATAGGAAATTGAACAAGGTTATTATCAACAGTTTCTTTCCATGGCACAAATTGAAAAGTTAATTGACTATTTCTAGTCAACCAAGTATTCATTGCTAGACTTGAAATTAATCTATCATTAGATTCGAGTTAAAGAAGAAGGTATCTTGAAGATTGCCTTTAAAGTGGGCAAGATTATTTGAATGGTAGCTGATACTATTTGTACTTTTCAAAGCACTATCTACATTTATGAGATTGGTGAATGATATATTACATCTTTTATACATTTATTTATTTGATTTATCTAGAAGGTTTTTTTTTTGTTCAAAAAAAGGAAGGAACATCTACAAGTCACGGAGTAGGTTTTAAAACTTTCTACAAGAAATCAAATTTATACTTGGGGTCTGTTTGGGATAGTTGCAACTGTTTGAAGAAGCAAATGTGAAGTTGCTGAAGAAGAAGTTGCTGTTCAAAAAGTTGTGGTCATTAAAATTTTTTTTTTTGAAAAAGTCATGTCACAACTTGTTTAGCAACCACTGAAGGTACCTAAGTCTGGTGGGGAAACACACCTTTTAGCTGCAGCTTTTGAGAAACAGCCAAACAAAAAAAATTATGGTGCGGCACCACACCGCCACCGCACTGTTGCCCCAAACACACCCTTAATCTCAGGAAATGTAAGTTTGATCTGCCTTAGACTTGTCTATCTTCACTTCATCATAGTTTGAGAAGAGCTATTAAGGGATTCATAGAAGGTTGCACCAATCTTGTACTGTTTTAGACTATGCACTAGAGCTTCGCGGATGGTTTGTCATTACATGAGAACTTTTATCCACCACTTCTCAATATTTGCCTTCCTTTTCATTGCCTTTGCTAACCGCACCTTTGAAAGAGTTGAAAAGTAGAAAACCATTCAATTGTTAAGAAAAAATGCAAGGTACTAGTACTTGCACTTCCTTTAGCTATCATTTGAGCTGGAGATGGGGACATCCACTGGAGTCATTCCTTGTCCAGGATGGATGACTTTTGGAAAAGTATTGAAATATTTTATGGGTTGTTCTCATGATTTATTGGGACTATGACAAGGAATATTCACCTCGCATCAAGTGATTAAATATCAGAGGCATTACTTTTCTGAAGAGGAAACAATTTTGCATATAGGTCACCAACCACTATAGTACTTCATAGACCCAACCTAAGCTACAACAAACCAATAATATGGAGTGGATACCTCAACCACAACTTTTCAATCTATTAATTGAGTATAAGAAGGAAGTGCATAGGAAAATAGTCAATATGCTGTTTTAATTAATTATTTGTGCAGCCATAAACCTGTTTGTGAACATGTAGATGCTACAGATGCACCATGAAAAGCATAGTGCATTGTACACAACATATCGAGGCATCTTTGAGCTGCAGGAAGCCCATAAAGGGCTTGAAAATAAAATAATGATGTCTACAACAGCATATTGACTTTTATAGGAGTATGAAAATATTAAACAAAAAGTTATACATCTTGTATAGCCATTGTAAGAGCTAGACAATAAATCATAGGTATTGGTTCGTCATTTTTAGCTACTGATAACATTAGAGAGCACACATATGAATTTCAAGGAAGTCTACTGTTCTATTGAGATCATTTGCATGTGCATAGAGACCATTTGACTCGGATGCAAGAGACACACTTTAAGAGTAGCAAAGACACTTTGGTACTGAGAACTTTAAAAAATTGAAGTACTGATTTTAGGGGTTGAAGGTGCACTTGGATGCACTATATAGCACATTGAAGCTTTCAAACTAGAAGATGAGTTTATACAAGTTTTTGTCATTACCAACTGAACCTTAGGAGTTCATTTTAATACACTTCTTGGTTTGGTTGCCAAAGACTTTAAGAGGTTTATTAATTGCATATTCGTCGTAGTAGGCTGTTTCAGCTATAAATTGAGAAGATTATATGCCTTGAAATTATAGTGTAATTAGGTGACACATTGTTACATGTTCACACCCAAATTCTTTCTCTCCAATCCACTTGGAAAGTTTTGGACACCTATCCTTTTCGGGTGGTTTTGGATCACTTTGTGTGTTCATGCATTCATGCATATACATGTTCTTATCTTGAGGGAAGCTTGATCTGATATAGGCTCAGCTCACTCAAAATTCGAATCAAGCTAGGCTTGTCTCGTTAATTTTGATTCAAGCCAAAGATGATTTGATTTTTGCGAGATTTTTAAGCCAATAAACATGTGGTGCCTTGAACCATACAATTAGGCAAGTTTGAAAAAGATTACTTTGGCCGAAGGTGATAGACGTTAATATTTTATACCTTAAAAGTCTTCCATTAAAGATTGTGTTCTAGAAGTAGGTGTTGAATCATAGTTGTGTAATCTTTGTGGTATTTATCAATTATAGAAATGCTGTTGAAATAGCAAGACAACTGCAAAAATGCATACTTTTCTTATTTTTCTTTATTGTATCATAAGTTCCTACACGTTGCAGGATGTGAACATTTTTGATCCTTGCTTAATGATACCCGATGAAACGAGTCGGAGAAGCTTTTCTGGAGTGAGGGTTAATACACGCATCCGTCAATTGGTGCCAAACTTGAAGGTATGTATTTCTTCCAACTTATTAAAAATCAATTTTAATTTAGTACTAATAGCTACATTGGTGTATTTCTTTGCGATTGTCTGTATTACCTCTGATATATTTTTTCACATTGTTAGTGTTTTAGTACAAGACTACCTTGAAAAAAAGAAGAGGAGGCTTCGGCTCTATTGATTTTCTTTGAAAATTTAGTCTAGGTTTTTATATAATGATTTGTGGAGGCATAAAATAAGTAAAATCTGATATGATAGTATTTTCTAATATTCATGTGCTTTTTAAAGTCAATTCTTTAGTAGAACATATATTAATTTCTGTCTTAAAAATGCTACTTTTTCCTTTTTGAACTCATGGCTAAATGATTAATGTATGCTGGCTAATCTACATGTTAGTTTATTTTCGCCGTGGTAATTATGTACAACATCGTCTAAAGGGTATACATTAGGGCTGTTTTCTGATGATAAACCTTGAACTTGACCCTTAAAAGCCTTATTGGGCATGAGCTAAAATTGGCTGATCATTATATGCTTAGGATCGAGCATTAAGCATGTTTATCATTTTGCCCACCATCACCTACTGCTTACTGTCACCTATTACCTGTTTAATCCTATCGTGGCTTCCTGCCAATGACGTGAAATGAAAAGAAAATAATGTTGGGAGAGAAATATATACATACATGTTTTGGTAAGCAAACCAATTATTTATTTGTTTTATAAATCACACACATAATATGTGTGTTTGTATTTGTATGTGTGAGAGAGAGTGAGAGAGAGTGTGTGTGAGAATACTTACAAGTCATCTCAAATCTAATATTGACTAAGCTATTATAAATTCGTTGTCAACCTGACATGAGTTTTGAGCTCAAAATCCTGTTACGAAACATAACTCAATTGATTCAAGTTAAAAATTTATGTTAGTTTAAAATTTTGGCTGCTTTTATTAGCAATGTGCATGACTTTGGTGCCCAATGCAAGAAAGTTTGTTGGGTCGATCAATTTATATTCTAAATGAATTTCTATAAGAGAAATGTATTAGATTTTAAATAGGCCTAAACAAAGCTTTAATAGTTAGCCCTTAAAAGTGATTTTATTTGGTGGTTGCCCCAGTCCATGATGGATTTTGAAGTGCTTTGTTTAATGGGCATGGCTTTAGCCCACTTGATAATTAATTACTTATGCGTGCATTTTGCTCATTTCTGTTAGTTTTTAAAGCACCATTTCCTGTAAGAAGAATTCCCCAAAGAGTTAAATCTTTTATTCATTGAACGTCTATTTGCACATGTAAGATCATATCATGATTGTAGATTGCGAAATTTTTATGCTGCGAGCAGTTCATTCTTTTGTTTATATTTCAAGTAACTATGCTAAAAGAACACATGGGAATAGAATTCCGGAGTACCTCTGGAGTAGCTATAGATCTTCATAAGCACGTGATCGTTGGTTTATTAATTGAACATGGTTTATTAAGGTAAACTTCTGAACAGCCTTGCTATTTTTTGTTAGATTGGGCCTTTGTGTGAATAATTTTACAAACTTTTGACTATCAATATCACTGTTCTGCTAGCGGCTAAGGCGTACCATTTCAAGTGAGTTAATTCACATTGTATCGGTGACTAGGTTGAAATAGGCTAGTCCTTACTACCCCTTGAAATGAAGAACTCAGCTCAAGTTCTTTAGTAGATATGTCCTTCCTTCTATCTGCTTCTCCTTTGGTATTATGTTTCTTCCAAGATGTGCTGCTGCTCTAAGTGGTGAAGTGGAACTGCACACAGAGGAGGTGCGTTGATGATTGAGCCTTGATGTACCATTTGCTCATCTGCAGCCATTCCTACCATGATTTATGGGATTGTAGCTCATGTGAGATACGATTAATGAATGACTTTTATAGTACACTCAACATTTTTTTATACTACACCATTTGCTCATCTGCAATCATGGCTACCGTGATTTATGGGATTCTAGGTCATGCGAGATACATTTGATGAATGAATTTTATACTATACAACATTTTTGTGATTTCGGTAAGTGTTAATCTTAAAGCTTACCCATATAAATTCCATATGAATTGCAAATTGCTTATGGAATGGGATTTTGTTCTAATAAGCAAGTTGAAGTCAGAGGATTCCTTCTCATTTTGAGTATTACAATACTGTGAAAGCTATGATTGAAACTCCTCTAATTTCTGTAAAATCCAGCTGTAATTTTTATCGGTAACTTTGGCAAAGATAATTTAAACATGGAAAGGATTAATCCCCCACTTCCCACCGCCCCCACTCCCAATTGGCTCTGGCTATCATGGGTTGTATTAATTCTGAACTGGAATTTTCTGATTGCAAAAAAACTATCTTTGAGTTTTAGTAATTATGATAAATCCAGGGAAGATATTTGCTCTTTTTTATGCTTGACTTGGTTTCTCTTGGAGATTATGGCAATACTTGTTCACATAATCACATTTTAGAACAAAGAAAGAATGTGACTTCTTATACAGCTTCTACTAGTTTTCACAAAGATTACAAATTGTTTCCTACTCTCTCTAGACTCGAATCCAGTAGTTTCCTTCTGGACAATAACTTTAATAATCTCATTAATGTGTCATTAGATGGGTGCCTTTTTTGGATATCAAATTTATCACGGTCTGGCTTGGGAGACTTGGATTATTAAGGCAAGAATGGACAATTGAATTGAAAAATACTATTGAAAAATTTTATTGCCTAAATAAAATCATCCAAAAGACAAAAAAGCCATTCTATTTCAAAATTTTAATTTACAAATATTCATTTAGGTTTAAAATGTTTACAACTAATAGAAAAATTAAAAAAATGAAGTGTTGTGTTTATCTCCCTGGGCTCCTTGATGCTTGTACGCATAATCTTTAGGATTCATCTACTCTAAAAGAAATTTTCCTAAAACAATTTAGCATTGAGTTAGGGCATAATGTCTCTAAATTATAATAATTCATATTTTAAAAATATTTTTTAAAATGATAGTTGAAAATAAAAATGAGACAATATATAAATCAGTTATATTGTTACTTTTATTTATTTTACATAAAACATTTGTCAATGTGACTAAAAGTATGTATTTCATAATATTTTTGAAACCCACTAAAAAGGCAGGCAATCATTTTCATTTTCATTTTAACGTGCATGAGCATGTTGTTTTCCTAGCCAGTATCATCCGTGGATGACTCCACATATACTCGACACTATTTTGGGTGTGGAGTTGCCCGTTGGAAGCTGGTCGGCCGCCGAAATCGAAATCTCGTCGCTCAATTCAGAAAGACATTTAATACACACACACACACACACACACAGATATATATATGTGTGTGTGTGTGTGTGTGTGTGTGTGTGTGTGTGTCTATACATATGTGTGTGTGTATATATGTATATATATACACACATATATATATGTATATATACACACACATATATATACATATATATATATATATGTCATTTTCTTTCTTTCTTTTATTAATTTCATCATGTGAAAAATATAACATGTGGTTTAAAAGACAATATTAAAGCAGTCAAAACATTTGCAGCTGATTTTATAAATAAAAATATGTTTACCGACCTGCTCAGTAAGATATGCCCTTTTCTCGGTCAATATTTTTTGGGCTGCCTATAGTAACAGTTAAATCAATTTAACTTCCAGATTTTTGTTTGAGTTCCTAAAATTTCCTTTTCGATATGCTTGAGCCTATGAATAAATCTAAAGTTCTTAATGTTCCACTAAATCTTCACCTAAACAATTTAGCACGTACAAAATAAACATTTATTGTTGCTTGGAGATTCGTACCTGTGAATTATCTCTTTCTTTTTTCTATTATAGCCCCTTTATCAAGCCCTACAAATATTTTCTAACCATAATTTTAGGAATTAGATGTTGGGGTTTTCTTAATTGTAGTCCAAATTAGCTAGCAATACATTTTTCTTGTATTAGGAAGAAGAACAAATAGAAAACCCAGGTTTCAATTTTGAATATCTTATCGAAAAATGAAGAAATCTAACATTCCTTTTTGATTTCATTTCATTCCACCAAAAGCCCTTACAATAATTTAACAAAACATGAATTTTAAACTTTAGGGTTGCTGAAACGCCTTCCCAAATGCTTGGAATAAATTTCCCTAGCACAAGGAAGAAGAATTAAAAGAATAAGTTTGTTTAATTTTTGATTTCTTTCGTTAAGGTTAAAATCTAAATTTACCCTTTCCGCCTAACCATCTCCCGCACACGAAAATGTCTTCTGCGAACCGCTCATGTGTATAGGTCTTCAGTTTCCCCCTTCACTGTTTGGGGCTTCAATCTTCCTTGCACGCAACTTCCGCCCGCACAGCCGCGCGGCGACCAAAGTGCATGGAAGCCCTCCTCACTCGCTCTATTGCAAAGACCGCCATGCAATCTCCTTTTCTCTTACTTCGGCTTTCTCCTTCCTCCCTTGCACATGGCAACTTGCTTGGCTTGAGCCGCCCAAACTGCTTGAATAGAGTTCGATTGTTGAGAAAGCTCACGGCGTCGTTGGTTCTCTCTCTCTCTCTCTCTCTCTCTTTTTTTCTCTCTCTCTCTTCCTTTCTCTCTCTCTCTCTTTGTGAACCATGCGATAAGATCTCGCTCTCTCTCTCTTTTGGTCTCGCATTCATGTGGAATGGAGAAAATTAAAGTGGTAGATCTCATATATTTTCCAGTGGGTGGTGTGGGTTCGTTCAAACAACACCTGCAAAAATAGAGAATTCAATTTTTTTTTCTAACATTTTTCTTTATTTTAATTAATAATTAGATTATTATTATAATGTTTAGCAGCAGTTGTATTTGCTTCGAAGATTTGAAGGCATCATTTGTATGTAGTACGGTGTGAAGTGTTCATGGATTACCAAAGCTTGAAATATATTTTTACATGTAAGGAATTGAATTCAAGGCAAATAAGACGATTTCAAACTCAATGCCTATTGAAGGAGAGTGAAGTCCCAAACTGTTCGAGCTGTCAGGCAGCCTTATGAAAATAATATTTGGTTTTTATTTAATGGGAAAAAAGAAAAGATCATCAAGTATGGTGCTATCAATTTTTCCTACTTTTGGATTAACAATACAAAAAGAAAGAATTCATCTAAAATTAAAAATAGAAGAAAGGAAAACGCTGTTTTTCTAACTCTAGATATTTCTCAGCTTTCACATAGCTGTATCTTTTTTAATGGATTCTCTTCTTGTGTTTCTTCTATCTGTTTGTAATCGTAACTAATGAAAAGGATTCATCTAGCTTTTCATAAAAAAAATTTGATATATCACTTTCCATGCCATTTCTTAAGGGATTTGAATGGTTGTTGACCAAACTAGCAGGTCAGAAATAGGCCACGTATAAATTTTGATGGAAATTACCTCTCCCGATATGGCGATAAGCAAATAAGAAGAGAGGCCAACTTTAAAGATCACCTAACTAATTAACTATATATCTCCATTTTCTGTGTATCTCAAGCATTAATGTTTTGCTTCATGAATTGGATTAAGTTCAATTTTGTTTATATCTTTTCCTTATATTTTTTAGTTCGAAAATGCTACATGCTATTCACTTCTCATTAAGAGATTGATAAATGATTTATGTTTTTTATAATGTCTGTGTATTATTGATGGTTTTATTTTCAACTTGCCAGATTTAGTTTAGAATTTGTTTTCTTTTATAGCTCAACTTCCTAATGGTTTTTAATCCAACCCCTGTTTCATCTGTCCATAAGGATCTTTTCTTTTTATAAATTTTTTTCTGTAGATTGATGGGTCTGAACCTCTGGAACCTTATGGTTCGATCTCTGAATATTTACTTATCCATGATGCATATCTCTTGAAAAAATGCAAATCTTCACTTCTTTGTTTTATTGTGTAGCACTTTCAAGCAATGTTGCGATGCCTTAGGTTATGGGCCAAAAGACGTGGTGTTTATTCTCATGTGAGTATCTGATTCCCATTTTTACTAAAATTCTAGATCATTTACATACATAGCACACAATTCTTATGTATTTACATATCTCACACCTAAACTTTCATACTTACACACATAGCACTCAAATCGTTAATATCACATAAAAATAACTTACCATTTAAATGTCAGATACACTTCTTCATGCATGGGTTTAAAGCATTGAAGTTTTATGCATGTAAATTTGGAAGTTTAGGTGTGATATTTCTAAATAAATTCCTAAAGAATTGTGCGCTCCGTGTGTAAATTTACTAAAATTCCATTAATATGAGTAGACCATAAAAGTTTCCTCTCACAGTTACTTGGATTCTTCGGGGGGATTCACCTTGCGATGCTGGCCGCTTCTGTTTGCCAAAGATATCCTACTGCTAGTATAAGTACTCTCATTACAATGTTCTTCGATACATTTTATCATTGGCCCTGGCCAAAACCAGTAATTCTGCAAGACCCATTGATACCGTTCAAGGAACCTGACGAGCGCAGCTTTCTGCCCATCTTGATGCCTTGTAGTCCATTTGATTGGTGTAGCTCCAACATAACAAGAAGTACATTTAAGAAAATTATGTTAGAATTTCAGCACGGTTATGACATCACAAAGGTGAACATTTTTTTTTAACATGCAGGCTATTTTAATTGTAGTTTTCACCAGCGCAGTCTTTATTTATTAACAAATTTGCTTATTTTACTGTTCCTGTTTATTTTTCTGGTCAGTAGTACATTGACTCTTATTTATTTTCGTTTATAGCATAATGTGTAGTTTATTGAGCGAAATGAAACATGATTTTCTTCCAGAATGTTTCTGCATAATATTTAGAGAAAAGTGTCAAAATAGTACACACTGATGTTTTGTTGGAAGCCATTTTAGTCGAAGTCAATAACAGGGCCAATTTATTCTTCAGATTCTTTCAAATATTGGTCCATACGGTGGATTTTTTCAATCCTAATTAAAATGTTTGGGACTAATTTGATAATTTATAGACTCTGGACTAAAATGACCCCCCATATAAACAGTCAAGATTATTTGGGCCCTTTACTATTAATATTTTCATGTAAAGAGCTTTCATCTAAAACTGATGGTAGTGGATTGAAGATATGGAGTTTGTGTGACTATAAGTAGCCTAGGGCTTAGGCTTGAGGAATGGTGTCAAACTAACATCTTTTAAGGGATACCTAGTGCTGCGTTGCTCACAGTCAAAATTCTTGTTTGGGTCTTAGACAACGAGTCATCTTTTACTGAGATGAAGTTTTTGAGGATTTTGAACTATTATCAGCTTTTTAGCCTTCTTTAGTCTTATCTCCCTTAAATATTATTATTACATAACCTAATCAGGCACAATATTGCACTAAGTAGGAAATCTTACCTTATTGTGATTTATGCTTGTTAGATATGACTTTTCGTGGCTTATATTCTATTGCTACAATTAACTTTTACAACAGTGGGGAACTATGAGTGTGTAATTATGAGGCTGAAATTTCTCCACATTGATGTCATATATTATAACTTAATCGGTTTTTACACCATGATGGATCTGATATTGCATTATTAATCATTTGTTCAAGCCTAAAAATTAACATTTAGTAATTACCATGGTGAATGATTGGCATTATTTCATTTAGCCTGGTGCAACTGCTCCTTTTATTTTTATTAAATTTTTAATTCAGTTGCACATTACTGTGAAATTTGCATATTCTTTGAGAATTGATCATTGAATTGGTTGGTCGTAATTAAGTTTGATATTCAACTTATTGCAGGATCAATGGAGGCTAGATTTCCAATGGTGTCATCTTTTTAACCATTTCCCATACTCTGAGCATTATCAGTATTTTGTTAGGATTTGCCTTTCTGCTCCAGATGAGGATGAACTGCAGGACTGGGTGGGCTGGATTAAGTCTCGCTTTCGTGGCCTTCTTCTCAAGGTTATCTTTTGTTACTGACTGATTTTGATTTTTTTTTTATTTGCAGTATATTTTCTTATATGTAATTTGTTTATCTAACTTCTGTTTTGGTCCCTATTCTTTCTATGTAATTTTACAATGCTGAATCTTCGTAATTATAATGCAGTTAGAGAGAGAGAATGGATATTGTGACCCAAACCCCAAAGAATATGTAGACACTAACATGGTTCAACCCAACATTGTTTTCTTCTGGGGCTTAACCCGTCTGGGTCGCGGCTCCGCTGATCTCAACTCTGTCAAGGAGGAATTCATGAGAACCATCAGCAAAGATGATCACAGCGGGAGTAAAAATACAAATTGTAAATTGGAATTGTCCATTCTACACGCCTCTCAGCTTCCCAATGACGTTGAAATTGATTCTGGAAGTGAAAAAGGAACAAAAGCATGCTGGAGATTTATGGATTACTACAATCAACACAGAAAACCTGCATATTCTCAATACGTTCCCAATTACTTTGTTGGTTATGTTGCCTCATGTGATGATTATAGAAGCCCTATTGGCTAAGAAGACATGAACCTTGTTTTCTGCTGCTTTGCTCTCTCTTCTTCTTCTTCTTCTTCTTCT